AGTAACATAAGAGCAGGGTATGGTAGCACATCGCCTGTACTCCCAGAATCCTGGGTGACCAAGGCAGGAGTACTACAAGTTTGAGCACAGCCTGAGAAACTTAGTAATTCAGTGAGACTGTGTCTCAAGAAAGAGGGCTGGGGTTGTAGCTCAGAGGGAAATCCTGGGTGGGATCAAAGCCTTCATTAAACTGTGTATGCTATTACTGTGGCCAATGAAATAATGATCTTGAGTCAAAATTACTCAGAGTCAGAAAGGAAGAGTAATGAGTACTTAACTGAAGATCTAGTTTTCCAGGATCTTGGAATGTTCTTAGTAGATTATTTTAGATAACTCACATGAGAATCCAGGGAGGTAGCCATGATTAGCCTCTTCTCATGGATGAGAAAACTAAAGCTCTGAGAGTGGTCACAGAGCGCTGATTAAACTCCAGGGAGATACGTTTCCAAATGTTTGACCTTGCCTGTCATCCAAGTACTCTGAGATACTGAAGCAAGAAGTTCAAGCACAGCCTGGGAAATCTAGAGTTAATGGGACCCTGTCTCTTAATAAAAACTGAAAAAAAGCCTGGGTTGCAGCACAATGTAAAAGCCCAGAGTTCAATCCCTAGTACTGAGCAAAAGGCTTGTTTGAAATTGGATTCCTGTCATTATAATATACCCTATACACTGAAATCTGCTTTTTGGAGGTGCTGCTTCTTCAAGATATTTTGTGAGTGAAAACTGAGGTCGAAAGAAGCTAGAAGACTGTCCAGAAGCAGGGTCTGAACTGGTGACTACAGTCACCAGCCTTGGCTCACTGCAGCTTTAAAAGCCCTCCATGAACTCATACAACCATTCTCTCTCCATGAGGAGTGGGAATTTCACTGTGAGTGAAATGCTTGAGGTTTTGCATCAGGAGAGGGGCAGTTGTTCATCTGCTTATTGAGAGTGCTGAGTCTACCCTGTGCCCCATGCCAGTGTCTATCTGCCATCACAGCACACATTCTGGAAGCGTATGCAGCTCTCTAGCATTATCTTCCTCTTTCAGTTCCTTGGGCCTTGGATTTTGTAAGGCTAGGCAAAGAAAACTCAGTGTTTTGTCTGGTGCGAAATAGATGACTGTTGAGAACAATGTGTATGACACACCCAACCTGTTTATAACATTAAAGCTTGAATTGCTAGAGGGATTCATTCAGCTCAGAGAGACACATACAAACAGCAATGAATTGATTCAATAGTTTGCGTGCCTTCAATCTTTGTAAAAAAAAATTGCCTATTATGGAAAGTATGAACGCTTTCAAAAAATTAGAGACAGCTGGAAGACAGGATTGAAGAGAATACTCAGGATCAGGGGAAAGCATATTAGTGTTCTGTGCTCTATATGGAGTGCCACACTTTCTTTATGATTAAATTTTCTCTGTTTCTGTTCTAATTTGAACTGGGGATCCTGCTGTCATCACTGTAATGGTACAGGCCCCAGAACAATTCTAGCTGCTGCCAGCCTGGTGGGACCCAGTGACAGGACACAGAACACCAGGGAGGATGAGGTGTCAGGCTTTCCTCCCTGAGGTAAGCCATTGTATTATAGACAGCTAAGTTAGGTAAAAATATAGTTAGACAGGGCTAGGCCTTTGAGGGAGTCAGTACAGGAGGTGAGAACACACTAAAACTGTGGCTGAAGAAACATCTGTCCAAGGCCAGACCTCAACATAAAGCCAGAATGACCAGGTCTATTTGCCTCCCTGAGGGATAACAATAAATTGAAGATTATACTATAATTGGTATTACCTGGTCCAATAAATTCTGGATAGACATCAGTCACCCAGATGGGTGACCAGGACCTTCCAATCCATTCCTTCTTAAAGAGGTCCTGTTCTTTCCACGCACACTGGCTTTACGATCTGCTTTCCCATTGGGTTAATATTACCTAAACAGCTATACTTCAAGTCTCACTAATTGATCATAGGTTTGATCCACATTGTACCTACCTTGTGATTTTGTACCCTCCTCATACTTTTGCACTACAAGACTTCCTCAGAGAACTGGGCTCACTGGCAATCTACTTTTGGGTCTCTTCTTGTATCTCAGGAACTGTCTCTATCATGTATTTTTCCTTCCCTTAATTTCCATTGTTCCTTAGAATTCATTCTTCAACTTTGGGGGGATAGGAATTCAGTAAATCTGACGTCTAAAAGGATGGGAGTTATATTACTTTGCTTATATTATCTGGTCAGCAGCACTATGCCCTGGAGGAAGATAGGTAATGAAAGCAGGAAGATCAGATCAGAAAAGTGCTCTTTGAATCACAGCAGCAGCCTTATTGTCTTACAAATAGGGAAGATGAGCCTCTGAGCAAGTAAGTGACTCCCATGTAGAGTCTTGCTGTCAACTCAACACATGAACCCAGGTCTGTGGATTCCCAGGCCTGTGCTCTTACAACTACCTCCTGCTGTCCTCTCAGACTCCAGCAAGGAAATGTGTGTCTGGAAGCAACTGCTTAGTATGCAAGCCAGGCTGACCTTTATGCTCTCAGAATCATCAACCTTTTGTTGGAAACCATGGAAGTAACGGTTCTGAATGAATAATGATAATCATACCACACTGTAGAGACAACTGAAAGCCTTGCTCAGACTGCGGAGTTCTTCCTACTTCCCTACTATTAAATCCCAAATATGCATACGCACTGCAACTCAGATTGGTCCTAGAAATAAGGAGATGGAAAACCAAAGTCCCCGTAGTTAAGCCTGTTTGCTTCTTATTTTGCCACCTACCCACAATCTCTCCCCCAAAATCCAAATTCTGGAGCATATGGGCCTTTGTTATTCAGTTCCTGCCAGGAACCAGCTCTTGGGAGCAGGAGTTGGGGTGGTCCAGAGCTGCAAGAGGCTTCCTAGGCATCCACGCAAAGCCCAGGCCTGGCCTCAGGGGAACATGGCTCCTGGGACACACGTAGGAAGATTTCTGATCCTCAATCCCTGTGCTGAAACTCATGTAGCACCCTCACACCCTCACTCCTGCCCCTAAGCTGTTTTCAAGAGCCCTGATATACAAATTCCAGCTCAAAGTTTCATCAATTTGTTTCACAAACATGAGGCGGGTGGAGGAAGTGCTTGTAAATGCAAAATCCTCCAGTGAGCTTATGTAAATAGTCCCTAGAGTTTTAGCAACATATTAGATGTTAGATACTAAACTGTACAGCTCTATCCTGTCCCTGTTTTGGCTCCACAGCTATCAACCTGACTTCACTTTCCTCTGAAAGTCAGACTGTGTGTGTGTGTGTGCGTGTGTGTGTGTGTGTGCGTGCGCGCACGTGCACACTACCCAGGCACAGGTTTCTGTTAACAATTTAAATGAGTAAATCCTGATTTTCCTGCTGCTCATCCCTTCCCCATGCCCTCCACCCAAGGCACTTCCCAGCTTCCAATCCCACTAATCCCTTTTACACTACAAATTCCATTTTGTTGCTGAGGGCTTAAATGAGTAAACCATGGGCTCACAAGTGTTTCTCTTGTGATCCCCTGAAGGCCATTGTAATTGTATAAAAATGGTAGGAGGGACTGTTCTGTGGCACCATGAAAGGAGCCACCTACTGGACTATGGGTGGCTAGGGAGGCTAGGGATGGGAGAGTGGGGATGAGGGCAGCTGAGCTTCTGGATCTCCCCTCTGCTTGCCAGTTTTGGCTCACCTTCTTACCTGCCTGGGGAGGGGGGTTGAGGAGGGGAAGCAGGTCCTGTCCCACAAGCCTGGGATCACCAGGTGCATTCTTGGGGAAGCCGAGAAGTATGTGCTACCTTGTATGTTACTGCTTCTGGCCCTTAGCACAGCTTCACTAGTTAACCAGAATCGTCCCTGGAGCCTCAGCACAGGTGACGCCTGCAGTGTCTGAGATGTGGGGTTCCCGAGAAGTCTGCCAGGTTTTGTGTCTGCTGCTGCACAGAGTCCCTCTCTGATCCAAGTTCGTTTGTGGCCATGTTGAAGTCCAGCCAGGGCTGAGGATCCCAGGGAACAAACATTGTGGAGCACAGCTGTAAAATGGCTGAGAGGTGCTAGGGTCACTTGGCACAGCCAAGCATAGGGCAGCAGGTAAACAAGACGCCTCACATTTGGGACTGCCCAGAGGTTTCAACATGTCCTCTCACAGTGACCTAGTTGGGCCGATTTTACAGAAAAGAAAACTGAGGCTCAGGAAGAGCAAGTGACTACTTCAAGATTGTTCAGCAAGGAAGGGGCATATTTCCCAGGATTCCTGTCATCTGCCTGTGTTGCTGCTTCAAAGTACAGAGAGACCAGGGCAGGAGCAGAGTGAAGGGAGCAAGATTTGGGGAGAGCCTGTTTCTGGAAGCTTCCATCCCAGGACTCAGCTTCCAGTGCCACCGCACTACTCTGAAACACTGCTGCCACCCTATGCCCTTTCTGCAGTGGCAGTGGGCTGGAGAGAGTACATACTCAGTCAAGAACACACCGGCGTCCTAATGGACTGCAAGCTCCCCCCAGTAATCACATGAGTACAACCTGAGCCCAAGTTCCCAGGATCTAGGTTCTGAAAGGACATCTGTTCTTTCCTTGTTAACCCCTGCATGCCTCTGTAGCAGAGAAGAGCCTTTTGGACAATAGCGCTTGAGAACATATATGCCCATTTATTAAAAAGAGGTGGTGTTATTATCAAGAAACTGGGGGACAGTGCCTGATTTTTTTAGAACAAACCCCTAGGGCTCTGCTGTGTGACCTTGAGCACATCCCCAGTCCTCTCTGGGCTGTGGTTTCCTAGTGCTTCACATCACCCGGGAATAGATGGTTTCCCTCCAGTGCCGTGTTTAGCTACATATTGTATCCATTCATTCAATAAACCTTCACCAATGAAGTCTTCCCGCAGGGCTTGGGCTTGGTGCAGCAGATTGGGAGAGAAGAGAGGATTGAGAATGAGTCTTTGCTTTGAAAACGCTCAGAATCCCCGCTTGTGCTGTTTTTTGGGCATGCTTCCTTTTTCATGCTGACTTACCTTTTCAGAAAATGCCCCCGCTTCCGTTGGAGAATGGAAATTGGCAAAGAGAGAGGGGAAATGTCCAATTTGCGGCTCTGCTATTTTAGAGGAGGTTGAAATTACGAGGCAAAGTGGAGTGATGCGCTCACTGGAGTAACCCCCGCTTTCTAAGGCAGGAGAAAGAACCCAGGTTCTCTGCTCTTGAAGTGGCTCGAGCTCTTGGGGGCGAGGCACTATTATATAAATTCAAGCTTGCTTCTGATCCTTAGTACCCTGAGTTGCCTGAAGGGGGGAATGGCAGTGCCTGCGTGTGCAGCCCGGACGCTCAGGTCGCCGCTGCAACCGGAGCACCGAGCACCCTCCCTCACCACCTGTCCCCGCCGGCATTCCAGAGTGGAGGCTGAATTGGCAGTGAGCCAGCCGGGGTCAGTCGCAGACTCAGTCCGCGCGGGCCCTCCTAGGGGTGTGTCTCACGGATTCAACTCTCTGCCGCTACGGGACGAGCCCCTAAAGGCATCTTTCTCCCTGGCGGGAGCCTTGCGCGCCTCGCTCTTCGCGCTGCTGCCCCGGGGCCGCCGCAGGCGGATGAACGACCTCAGGCGACGCTGGGACCTGGGCTCCCTCTGCCGGGCCCTGCTCACTCGGGGCCTGGCCGCCCTGGGCCACTCGCTGAAGCACGTGCTCAGTGCGATCTTCTCCAAGATTTTCGGCCCCCTGGCCAGGTACGTTCTAGAAAGTGCAGCTCGCGCTCTTGCGCCAGGGCGCACAGGGGACCTGAGGGGATGGAAGGCAGCTGCGAACCGAGGGAAGGGCGCAAAGTTCAGCTAGCCGGTGGTGGCCGGTCTCGGGGACCTGGCCCACGCGGCGCGGCGCGGCGCGCGAGTGAGCACGCTTCGGGTATCTCCCTGCTCTGCCGTTCCGCAGACGCCCACAGCGCAGCGACTCTGCTTGCAGGTCGGGCTGCCGGTGGGCAGGGAAACTCGAACGCCCGGCTCTGCGCTCACTTGAGGCGGCCACACGGGTGGACAACTGGGTGAGCGCGGGATCGGCGCTGCGGGACGGAGAGAGCCAGCAAGTCAGGCAGGCAGGCAGAGGCGCGCACCCCGGAGCTGGGGTCGCAAGAGCCGGGAGGAGTCCAGGGGCGCAGCGCAACGGGAGCCCTGGAGAGTGGTGCTTTACTGCGGGGGCCCGGCTGGGGGACCAGAGTTGGGGAGTCGGGCGACAGGGACTGGAGGGATCAAGCGTGTATAAAAGCCCAGGCAGGGGCTTGGAGGGCTTCGGCGAGGGAGGGAGCAGACGGCCAGCGGAAGAGAGCTCAGGATGGTTGAGGGTACGGCCTGTGTGCAGCAGAAGCCACAGCGCTGAGCCTGCCGGGAAGAAAGCAAGGAAGGGCGCCGCGGCCGCCGCCACCGCCACCGCCGCCGCCGCGGTGGAGTACTCGGTGCGTAGGGGAGGGAGAGAGGGGCGCAACGGCGCCGCCAGGGGAAGGGGGCGGTGCGGGTGCGCGGCGAGCTCGGGCTGAACTGCGGGATTGACGTAACGAGCTTGGGTTTCCCCCAGCGTCGGGAACATGGATGAGAAATCCAACAAGCTGCTGCTGGCTTTGGTGATGTTCTTCCTATTTGCTGTGATCGTCCTCCAATACGTGTGCCCCGGGACGGAATGTCAGCTCCTCCGTCTGCAGGCCTTCAGCTCCCCGGTACCGGACCCGTACCGCTCGGAGGATGAGAGCTCCGCCAGGTTCGTGCCCCGCTACAATTTCAGCCGCGCCGACCTCTTGCGCAAGGTAGACTTCGACATCAAGGGCGATGACCTGATCGTGTTCCTGCACATCCAGAAGACCGGGGGCACCACTTTCGGCCGTCACCTGGTGCGCAACATCCAGTTGGAGCAGCCCTGCGAGTGCCGCGTGGGGCAGAAGAAATGCACGTGCCACCGGCCGGGTAAGCGGGAGACCTGGCTCTTCTCCAGGTTCTCCACGGGCTGGAGCTGCGGGCTGCACGCCGACTGGACCGAGCTCACCAGCTGCGTGCCCGCGGTGGTGGACGGCAAGCGTGACGCCAGGCTGAGACCGTCCAGGTGTGTGTTCTGTCGCGACCAAGCAGGAGGCTGAGATGCGGTGCCGACCTGGGTTGGGCGGGCCGAGGGCGGGAAGGCGTCGCCTGCCGGCTGCCGGGTGCCCAGCGCGCACCTCATTGCTCCAGCTGTCGCGCCGCGGATAGGCAGGAGTTTAGTACCCTGGTGCCCTCCTGTGCGGTGCTGTGGAGGCCTCAGAAAGTCTTTCAGTTCTGGCCTGGGACGACCGTTGCTTTGTGGGAAGATGGGCCCGCTCGGTGGCTGGAGTCTGTGCGGGCCAAGTCGCCAGGCTGCCGCAGCCACCGCCTGGCCCAGGAACCACTTTCACACTGGGGAAGAGCGCTCTGCGGGCAGCGTGTCAGGATCCTATTATTCTTCCCTCCTCTCCTGTGCACCTCCGTTCCAAAGCCTCCTTTCTTGCTATCTTCTCCCCTTCTGCCCCGCATTCTGTTGTCTCCCTTTTTCCTTTAGAGAGAAAATTCTTTCTCTCTTACGTTCTGAATCTTGTCTACTTCTGGTTGCTAGCTTTTTCCTTCTCCTTCCGTGTCTAACCCTCCACTTCATTTTCTTTCTCAGTCTTTTCATTTCTCTTCTCCTGCCCTACTTTTACCACGCCCCTCTCTCCTTCCCTGTTGAGGGGCAGTTGTTCTGGGTCCCTGTGTGGACAGCTAGAGAGAGCTGTTAGTTCCCAGCATGGGACCAGCATCAACAGAGCTTTGCTCATTCCAGCGGGCCCCCCTGCGGCTCATGGGCTCACTGGGCTGGGACACTGCCCTGGACCCTCTCCTGGTGAGCAAAGATGCAGGAGCGTCAACACTGGGTGCCCTCTGTCAAGTGTCAGGAGCCTGGTGAAGATATGGAAGAAGTAGATTTATGAACAGTCCATAGTAGCCTAGTAGTCAGAAACAAAAGGTATCATCTTCCTCCAGTGCAAGGGCAATGTCCAGTTGCTGGAGGTCATGCAATGTTGTAAAGGGGACCAGTGTGGTCATATAGGGGTGAAGGACAGTGTTCCAACCAGGTCTGGTGCTTCACAGGTTTCCTGCAAACATACCTGGACAGGGGCAGGGAGTCTAAAGAGTGAACAAGGTATGATGGTTGTCAGGCAGCCTCTCAGTTTGTCTTCACGTGTCAAGGACAAGGCCTTGTCCCCTCCTCTCCCTTTATGTGACAGGGACCTTCAAGGCTGCTGCTGCAGTGGCTGCTTGCCTGGGTCCCTTTTGCCTCCACCCCATGGAGGGCATTCAGTGACTTGGACAAGGAGCTGCATGCAAGCAGCTTGAGGCTGCAAGTCTGTGGGTTTTCCTTTATCCAGTTGCAGCAGAAGGAGCTTTCTGCCTTTCTGGTTAATATTAATCTCATTGCCTATTTTCCCTGCTCATTTTCTCTTCCTCACATTTCTTCTTCAAACGCCAGAGTTCTCTGGAGCACTCTTTTGAAATTCCATTTGCTTTTTTATCCTAAGACAACCTTGGCCTCAGGAAGGTGACCACTTCAATCTGTTGTAAGAACTGAGTAAGTTATTCTCACAATATGATTCTGTTGGCACTCTGGGAGGCTGAGGCAGTAGGATTGCAATTTCAACCATACCCTGGACAATTTAGGAAGAGCCTATATTAACATTTTTTAAAAAGTTAGAAAAGGGCTGGGGGCATACCTCAATGAGAAGGCTCTGGGTTCAATATCTATACGGTCTCCCCCCAAATCTGATGTTTAAGAAGTTCACAAACAATTTATCATCAATATTGAAAATAAGCTCTCATGCTGATAGGGCTTGTAGATATGCTGAGGGATAGTGCAGTTACAAAAATTCTCTATGGGAAACACTGCTTCTATAGCTACGACCGTGGCAGTAAAGTGAAAATAAGGTCATGGTAGCCGTGGAAGCCACAAACTTGTTTGGAGTTCCACAGGACACATGTGCCTTCGGTAATTTGATCAGGTAGGTCAGGAAGTGACATCTATAACATACATCATTAATGTAATCTGAGTTATCTATTGGGTCACCATCATCCTTTGGCAGATTTCTTTAACCTTCTATATAAGATAACTAGAACACCTCAAAGCCTCTCGGATATCCCATACTGAAGGAAAATTAATTGTAATGAAGTAGTATTTTCTTGCTGTTTGAAAGGGTGATACTACAGTGCCACCTAGTCTAATTGGAGACGAGCCACGTTTGCAAAAGTGTTAGGAGATTTTATGGTAGTTGCAAAAAGGAAATGAAATTTACCACACATTGCTAATTGAAGGGTACTTTTTTATTTCCTTCATTCCTGCCTACCTACAAATATTCATCTGGAAGAATATTCATAGCCCAAGGCTTCCAGAATTTCCGAGGTTGGTGACAGATCCTTGCTTGCAGTTCTGGTGGTCTGTAAGGACTAAGAGGTGCACCTGTGAGAGGCAGGCGGCATGTGCCTGTGAGTGTGAACATGTGTAGGAGAAGGACAAATGTAGCAGCGAAGGCGTCTGCACTGGTAGTGACTGCTGAGGGGAGCGAGCTTGTCTTGGGGAGATGAGAGTCTGCTTCCAGAGTTCCTGTGTAGGGCAGCCTCTTCATGCTAGCTCGTGGTCTCTGGGCTGTGTGGAACAGAAGGAAACAGCAGCACTGGCTGGCTGGCTGGGAGGTCAGATACCTTCCACGTAGTTCTAGAATAGCTTTGGATCAGCAGTGTGACCTTGGAGTACAGCCTGCGTGGAAAGCGCATCTCAGATGTGTTTTTGTGTTGCTATCTTGGTATTTCTCTGTAAACTTCACTATCTTTTGGAGAAGGACAAAGTGGACAAGAGCACTCCCATGAGAATAAAGTCCAAAAATGATTGAAGGACTTCCTCAAGGTTATTGAGCTCTTTAGGGGCACAATAGGACTCTCACTGCAGTACTGTCACAACACTTTCTTTGGTGACTGTGTCTTGATGAACAAGGGCCTTTACAAAAACATGACGAGTCATTTCCGATTAGTAATTACCATGGAGCAAGTACCCAGCATATGTTAGCTGTTGTTGTTACCATCTGGATCATCACTGTCATCAGACATTTTACACGTTAATTTTGTGTAAGTGATTGGGCCAGGGTTGCCATACTTCCTGGGAGAACAGAATTTCACATCCCTGACACTTTACACTCCTTAGGAGCTGGATTGTAATAGTGGCCTCTGCTTGCCTTGTTGGAAATCTCTGCAAAGCTGAGCAGCATGGGAAGGGGCTGGGGGCCTGGTTGGGGAGTGTCATTAGGAACAACACGGACCACCTCCTGACCCACCACCATTCATTCACTTAGTGGAAGCATGAGAAATTGTCTTGGCTGCAAGCCAAGAGCCTGAATCCTGCTCCCTATGCTATGTTTGAGGTATTTTCTTCCTCTGTGGATGGTAAAGTACTGCAGAACTGCCAAGTAGAAACTACTACAATCACATTCCCTGGAGAGGAGGGGTGGCACTTGGCTGGCAAAAGGCTTAAATTGTTTATTAAAATAATATCTCTCACAAAATTAGAAGTTATATCGCATCCATCTGTTTACCAGTATGTTGTTGGAGGTCAGAAAAGAGTCTTGCTCATTTTAGAATTTCTAAGACCACTTTAAAAAATGTATCAAAACATTGTTGCCCAGCAGCTGTTAAAATTCCCAAATTCTGCAGAATTTTCTCAAGCCATATTTCCTATGTTTGTAGCCAACTCTGGCGTACCACTTAGTCTGTGGGAGGAACTCAGAACTGCAAAGGAAATTATACTAGTACCATGCTGGCCACTACATGTGGGATACAGGTAGGTTCAGGGCCTGTGACTGTACATGTTAAAGAATCCAGCCAGATGCTGGATTGTAGATTTTAAAATCTCTAAAGTTTTCAGCAGTCATTTGGAAGAGTAACTAATTATCTAAAATCTGGCAGGATATCACTGAGAGGAAGGGACTAAAAGGTTTTTGCTTAGGTGGAGAACAGTTTTCTTTGGTATTTATTCATTTAAAGCAATTGTGGTAAAGGCTTTCTTTTAAAAAGGTGGCTCTGTTCTGAAAGACAGTTATAGCGTGCATGTGCCTGATCAGACCTGTCATGCTTAAGCCCACACTCCTTCCTGTTCTTGACTCTGTGGTAAGGCAGGATGATGGGACAGGCTTGCGACATCGGGGAGGTATTGAGTGAGTAGACTGTTCCTCCAGCAGTGCTGCAGCCCATCTGGCCGTGGATTGTAGTACACTCAACTTCTGTTGGCTAAGCACGCTTTCCTTTAGCCATTTTCGATGTGAGCTGTTATACTGTCTGCCTCCTTCATAAATCTGGGGAGGAATCTACCATGATAATGTATCTATGATGCCACCAGTATTAGTGAGGAACATTGTGCAAAGAAGCCAAATTGTTGGAGTCCCAACAGAGCTCTAAGCTATCAGGTAGTCCAAATGTCACTCAGGATTGGCTTCTGTTAATTTTAGGTTAGTACCATCATGTGGTGATGAAAATATGAACACTTGTCTTTAATGTTTACCAGTCATCAACTGAGATAGCGTGAAATGACATTAAAAGAACAGTCATTCCTTTTCTCTGTCGTTCATTAAACAAAATTTTATGAAACTGCCTATTATATTCCAGGGAAGACTTGTCATCCATGCCAATAATGTCTTCAATTACAAGAATATATTAAAAATAAGGGAGATGTCTGTTATGGTGTAGGTTTTGTCAAACCAGGGCAAACCTGGTGGTTATGCCTCAGTACAGGGTAAGTGGTCCAGAGAGACAAGATCCAAGACAAAGCCAGAACAGTACATGTCTCCACCTTCAGCCTGAAATGCATGTGTGAATTGCAGAATTGTGTAATACAGACATTAGTGGAAGAGGAACTTCTGATTTTGATCAAATCCTTTCCGCTCTTTGGCCATAGTGTCTCCTCTGTCAAATGGGAGATTTAAACCAGGTGTCTTCTGGTATGGCTCCTTCCTTTGCAGTGTAGAAGGACTGGGCCAGCAAAAGGAGAGATCTGTTTGATAAGGCCCCTGCGACTGAAGG